AATCTTCCTTCTTAGAACAGCTTTTGCTGCATCCCAGATATTTTGGACCATTGTGTTTTCAGTTTCATTTATCTCCAAGTGTCTTTTGATTTCTTGGTTGACCCATTCATTGTTGAGTAGCATGTTATTTAACCTCTATGCATGTGTCATCTTTCTAGTTTTTACCTGTGGTTGGTTTCTAGTTTCATAGCATTGTAGCTGGAATAGATGCAGAATATGACTTCAAATGTTTTAAATTTGTTCAGAATTATCTTGTGGCCTAACATATGATCTATGCTGGAAAATGTTCCAGGTGCACTTGAAAAGAAAGTGTATTCCACTGTTTTAGGAGGGAAAGTTCTGAATATCTCTTAGATCCATCTGGTTGGTCCACTGTGTTATTCAAAGCACTGTTTCCTTGATTCTTCTCTTTGGATGATATATCCATTGATGTAAGTGGTGTCTTAAAGTCCCCAACTATTATTATATTACTCTCTCTCTCTCTCTTTTTTTTTTTTGCACTTGTTAGCATTTAATGAACCTCCCCGTGTGGCTTTAAGCTACTAGAATGCAGGTGCCCCCCACACCCTTTGTCTTCTCCTCAGCTCTTCTACTGAAGAACCTGACCTTCACAATGACAGGCTATTTTGGGACCTTTCCCTTTCCCAAAACTTTGTAGTAGCCCAATCACACCACATAAATAATAGGAGCAGCTCCAGTCCTGTTTTTGGCAGCATTTACCTGTGTCTGCTCACTGACTGAGGTCCACAGTTTATCAAGGTTGACAGTAGGGCAGAAGCTCTGGTTCCTCTTTAAGCGGTAATGTCTCATACCGACTTTTCCAAAGTAACCTGGGTGATATATGTTGAAGTTGATCCTGTGATAATGCATGCCACCAGCATTACCCCAGCCTCCTGGGTGCTTCCGGTGCTTGCCGATGCAGCCGCGGCCATGACTCACGTAGCCCGAAGTTTCTGGGTCTTCCTCAGTCTGGATGGCATGTTGGTGGGCCAGAGGAAAAAGGGAGGTGTTTTTCTATTATATCACCATCAATTACTTTCTTTATCTATGTTAATAGATAGATATCTATCTGTTTTACATGTTTGAGTGCTCTGATGCTGGATGCATAAATATTTATAATTGTTATAACTTCTTGTTGAATTGTTGTTCCCTTTGTGGTTATGTAGTGTTTGTCTCTTGTTACAGTCTTTGTATTAAAGCCGATTTTGTCATGGGATGCCTGGGTGGCTCAGTGGTTAAGCATCTGCCTTTGGCTCAGGGCATGATCCCGGAGTCCTGGGATCAAGTCCCGCATTGGGCTCCCATGGGGTGCCTGCTTCTCCCTATGCCTATGTCTCTGCCTCTCTCTGTGTTTCTCATGAATAAATAAATAAAATCTTAAAAAAAAAAAAAAAGCCGAATTTGTCTGCAATAAGTATAGCTACCCTGGCTTTCTTTTCCTTCCATTTGCATGATAAATGTTTTTGCATCTCTTCACTTTAAATATGCATGTGTCTTTAAGTCTGAAACCAGTCTCTTGCAGATAGCATATAGATGGGTCTTGGTTTTTTTATGTCTTGAACCTATGTCTTTTGACTGGAACATTTAGTCCATTTACATTCAAAGTAATTGATAGGTAAGTAACAAATAGCAATAAGAACATATTTTATGGTTGTTTTTGTAGCTCTTCTCTATTTTCTCTTACTCTTTTCTCTCACAGTTTGCTGGCTTTCTTTAGTGATATATTTGGATTCCCTTCTTTTTATTTTTTTGTGTAGCTATTATTGGTTTTTGATTTGTAGTTATCTTTAGGTTTATATGTAACAATTTATGCATGTAGCAGTCTATATTAGGTTGATAGTTGCTTAAGTTTGAACCCATTCTAAAAGCACTACACTTTTATTCCTCTCCCCTATCATGTTTAGGTACATGGTGTCATACTTTACATACTTTTTATTTTGTGATTCCCTTTCATGATATACTTAATTTTACTGGTTTTGTGCTCCCTGCTTTTCTTACTCCTGTTTGGGGTCTTTCCTTTGTATTCAGAGTCCCCTTTAACATTTCATGTAAGGCTGGCCTAGGGGTCATGAATCCCTCTAATTTTTGTCTGTCTGGCAAACTTTCTCCTTCTATTCTGAATGATAGCTTTGTTGGATAGAATATTCTTGGTTGCACATTTTTTCTTTCAGAACTTTGAACATATCCTGCCCCTCTCTTCTGGACTGCAATGTTTCTGCTGACCAGCTAGTTGTTTTATGGGATATTTCTTGGATATAACTACTTTTTTTTTTCTCTTGCTGCTTTAAAAAGTCTTTGCCACTACTTTTTGCCATTTTAATTACCATGTGCCTTGGTGTGGACCTCCTCGGGTTGATTTTGTTGGGGGCCTCATTTGCCTCCTGAATCTGGATTTCTGTTTCCTTCTTCATATTTGGGAAGTTTTCAACTATTATTTCAAGTAAAATTTTCTCCCCTCTTTTTTCTGTCTTCTCCTTCTTGGATCCTTAAAATGCAAATGTTATTAGACTTGATGCTGTGGCTGAGTTTCCTTAATCTATTTTCATCTTTTATTATTCTTTTTTTCTCTCCTCTTGCTCAGCTTGATTGCTTTCCATGACTCTCTCCTCCAAGTCACTGATCTGTTCTGCTTCCTCTAGAGTACTGTTTTTTTTTTTTCCCTCTAGTGTATTTTTAACTTCAGCTATTGAGTTCTTCATCTCTGGTTCTTTTTTGTGTTTTTTAATCTTTCTTTGTTGAGTATCTCATGGAGTCCTTCACTCTTTTCTCCATTCCAGTGAGTATTTTTATTACTATTATTTTAAATTTTCTATCAGGCAGATTGCTTATCTCTGTTCCATTAACTTTCTTGTGATTTTGTCCAGTCCTTTCATTTGGGACATATTCTTTTGTCTCCTCATTTTGTCTAACTCTCTATGTCTGTTATAATGTCTTATGAAAGTCAGCTACATTTCTGGCTCTTGAAAGTTATGCACATATGAAGAAATGGTCCTATGGTGCCTTGCAGTACAATGTCCCTTATTCACCAGACCCTGGCATTCAGAGGTGTCTTGTATGTGTGTTGTATGTGCCCTACTCTTGTGGCTGAATCGTATTTGCCTTTAATTTAGTTGTCTGCAAAGGCTCTCTGTCTGTGTGGGCAGGGTTTGGTCCCTGTTTTAGTGGGCCAGTCTGGGATCACCTTGGGCTTGATTTTGGTCAGCCCAGATATTTGCCAGAGCTGTGGTCACACTGAACTACAGGGCATTCCCCTGTGTTGACCCCTGTGAGGCTTTCATTGGTGGGCAAAGGTGTAGTCAGACCAGATGTCTGCTCACTGCGGGGCCTACAGTTGAATTGATGTGTGTGTGGTTATCTTACCCCTCCCTGGGGCAGAAGTCACTTTGGAGTGTTGCTAGCCCACCAGGCCTGCTGGCATAATGTCAGGTTTGTGGCACTGCTTTGGATGAACTCCTGATAAGTGGATTAGTTTGGAAAAGGTGGGTCCACAGGGGAACATGGGGATGGGTCACATTGTCAGTAAGCTAAGTGGAGAGTGTGTGCACTTTACTGGTCCTTGTAGGTATCTGTTTATCTAGGCTGGGGTTGAGGGAGGTAAATGGCACCTGATAGCAATTTTGATTTTGGAGAAGTCTCCTAAAGATCCTGCCACAGATCACACATTCTGAGATTAGTAAATCTCCTTCCACTGGACTTAAACTGTTGCTTCCATGCTGTATCCCAGTGGGGCTGTGTGTTATGCTGTCTCTTTAAGAGTGGGGACAGTTTCCTAGAGCTCTCTGGCTCTCCAGGGCCAAGCCACTGATTTACAAAGTTATAGGTGTTGAGCCCTGCTGATTGTAAAACTCATAATGTTAAGCCCCTCTGGTTTTCAAAGCAACTGGGATTCATCTTCCCAGTGCAGGTTCCCCCTTGCTAGCGTGGCTGGTGTGGGGTCTGCTGCTCTCCCCTCTCAATGCTCATGGTGTCCCTCACTTCCATGGACAGTGACATTGGTCAGTTTGGCTCCCAACCGTGTCTGCACCCTTCCTACCATTTCTGATGTGGTCTCTTCTCTACATTTAGGCATTGAAAGTGCATTCTGCCAGGTTTCAGGTCATTTTCTGGGTTATTTACACTGATGTGGGTTTTATCTAGGAATAACCATGGGAGAAGTGAGCTTAGGATCTTCCTACTCAGCCATCTTTCCTGGAAGTTATTTCACTTAAATCCTGGTCCTCTGGTTGCACCCCCCTCTCTGGTAACCTGTCACCAACAGTCTGAAAGCTCCAGAAGAGTATTCTTTTTGAGGGGTGCTTTTGGGTGGGGGCGGAGGGGAGAGAGAATCTCAAGCAGGTTCCATGCTTAGTGTGGAGCCAAATGTGGGGCTTGATCTCATGATCCTGGGATCATGACCTGGGCTGAAATCAAGAGTCAGACGCTTAACTGACTGAGTCACCTAGGTGCCCCCAAAGTATTCTTTTTTAAAGTTTTCTTCTTTATTGACTAAAAGCATTAGTCTTCAAAACATGCCACCTTTGACAAATAAGTGAAGATATTTATACTTCCATATAGTTCTGACAGAAACAGAAGACATCTGTGCACAGAGCAGCAGGATAGACTTAAGCCCTTCAAGCATCTCGGCTTTCCAATACTCACCTTGTATGTGTCCCACCTCCAAAGCTTAGCACAACTTGAAAATCCTATTTATCGTCAACATCTGCTTTATGTCTTAAAAAAAAAAATCAAATCACAAAATACAACTCTTTTGGGAACTTCCTCTTAAAGAAGGTTTGGCTTTTGATATCCTGTCACACTTAGAACTGCACCCCATCTATATTAGAGATTATTATATTCTGGAATCAGCATGAAGAGAACTTGACAAACTCTAAAATAAGAAAACTCAGTCATCCTCCTTCAAAAATTTCTTCCTACTTCTGCTCATTTTAAATCTCAGGGATACTGACAACAGTTTACATCTTTTCAAAGCAATCACAAAGCAAAGCATTACATTGGCTTACCTTTTTCTTTGACAAACTCCTTTTGTACCTCTGGGATCAGGAAACTATAAACCAACTCAGCAACAATCTCCTCTGACTGAAGCTGAGTTCGACTAAAAAAGAAAAAAAAGTAAACTATTTCCTTTGCTGCCTTACTTCTGCTGATTTCTACTTAGGTTCTCCTTGCTTATGTAAGGGACTCCACTGCCCAAGTCCCACCACTGCCTTTTCCTTGATTAAGTAGTCTGAAATATTACACTCCTGGTGGGCTTGGTTAACTTCATGCAAATTCAGATTTTACCCTGTCCTTCAATTAGCCTGCCTGCCAGGAAGGGAACATTAAAGATATAACTTATACAAGAAGCCAAACGTTTTGGGGTGAGGTAATACTGCACATGCTTATTCACATTGTTTTCATGATTTGTGGTATTCTAAAAGTAATATGTTAGCGATCCAGACTGCAGAGGATAACTAAAAATTCTACTCCCAGTGCTCCTGCCATACAAAGGTATGGGCATGTTGACTTCTGAAGAGTTATGCAATTAAAACAAAGGACACTGACGCAGGAGATATATACTTGTTTCTCCTTGGTGGTAAAATCTTAAGCTCTTGAAAAATACATATGAGTAACAGCCAATGGGCTATCCATTCTGCCATCTGTTCTCTTGATACAAACCGGCTCTCCATTTCATAAGCAACGTCATTGATTTCCTCAGCCATCTTCTCAATTTCTGCCCTGGCTTGTTCTTCTGCAGTATTCTCTTCGGTATTCAGTATTATGTCTTCCAGATAGGAAGTTATAGTACTTTGGTGAACTTTAATCACCTGCAAAACCCAAAAATACCCTGTTACTGAGAACAGGAATACTACTGTATGAGCAAAATTGGTTGCAAACAATTGGCTGACCTTTTTTAAGCACATCTATATTTGTTCATTAAGTCAAAAGTCCCCTCATTGATCAATCCTTTTGTTTTCTTGTCCAATCAGTCTGTTTCCAGTCCACTTACCTACTCATTCAGTGAAGCTCCTCTCCACCTAGCCCATTTTAGAATTATGGGTCTTACTTAGGGTGGGCAATACAACACTACAGAAAGATCATGGGCTTCGGGATCCCTGGGTGGTGCAGCGGTTTAGCGCCTGCCTTTGGCCCAGGGCGCGATCCTAGAGACCCAGGATCAAATCCCACGTTGGGCTCCCGGTGAATGGAGCCTGCTTCTCCCTCTGCCTATGTCTCTGCCTCTCTCTCTCTCTGTGTGTGACTATCATAAATAAATAAATAAAAATTAAAAAAAAAAGATCATGGGCTTCAATCAATAACCCTGTTTTGGATCTTGGCTTTGTTCTTTCTGGCAATGTGACTTGGTCAAACTACCCATATGTGGCAGAGACTAAGAGGTATTTCCCAATGTCCTTTCTCTCCTTCTTCTTACATAACACAGCCCCCTGAGTTTTAGCTGCACCAACAGATGTCTAGAGTCAAGACTACATTTCCTAATACCCATAGTTCTGGTTAAGGGAGTATATGCTGAAGCCATCTGTGCACTTTCTAGGTTCTTTTTGCTTTTTTTTTTTTTTTTTAAGAGAGAGAGATAGAACACAATCCAGTGAGGGGAGAAACCTGGGATAGAAACCCAGGTTCTACCCGGCATGTAGCCTGAGGTGGGGCTCGATCTCATGACCCTAAGATCATGACTTGAGTCAAAATCAACTGAGATGCCCCTAGAAAGGATTATTTAAGGGAGAAACCTAGCTTATTTTATTTATTTATTTTTTCTCCTTCACTTCTCATTTCATGGGGTCATAATACTGGAGCACCAGAAGTCATCTTAAACTGACATGAGGGCCATGCCATATGGACGGAAAAGCAGAAACCTAGAGTGATCCCAGGTCTCTGATGAATTTTTAAATGATCATATCCTGGACTGCTGCTTTTTTAAGGTTTCTGAAACTGTGAAATAGAACACACATTTTGAAAGTGCACAGTGATAGATGTACTGTGTAATGAATTAGGGTAAAGCTAGTACCCAGGTAGCCACTGCTAGAATTCTAGGCAGCCATTATGGGCTCTTCCTGACCATAGACCCTTTCTACTGTCATGATTTTATGGTAAACACACTTTTCTTTACAGTTTTCCTCCCTAAGTATGCAATAATAAATAGTACAGTTTAGTTTCCCTGTTTTGTAGGTAGATGGACAAGAAGCATCATAGGCATCAAGTGCAGCATACTTAGTTTTATATGTATTCTGTCTCCTGAACAGATTTTGTATTTCTTGGGCAAAAGGTACTTTTATATTTCATGTCAGAATAGTTCTTTGTATCTGAGATAATGCTTTGGTACTCAATAACAACTCACTATCTATTTCTTGACTGGCATCACAGTAAGACTCTGAGTATGTAATGTTTACTGTGCATCTACTTGTAAAACACCAAGACCATAACCTGGAATCCCAAGGCCTTCCCTGTGGATGAGACTCAATGACCAGTTTAATACAGTAACAACCAAGCAAGCAATCAACCAAAATATATTTGCTCAGTGTCTTCTGTGCAGGGACCTGTGCTGGTGCTGAAGAAGGCACAAAGCGATATATATACAATATGCTTGCTCTCATGGAGCCCACCCACAGTCTTATTCAGGAGGCAAGTCGCACCTATGTGAAATAATTAGACAACTGACTCTTATAAGAGTTCAGAAGTGAAAAGTTTAATGTTGTCTGCCTCTAGCAGTATATGCACTTGGATGCTTACATATGTCTTTATTAATGTGTAAGTTTCTGGACACACTTGTGCTTGTCTGTGCTTGAACGAATAAGGAAATGTGTAGGTGGCTGTGAATTGTGTATGTTCCTCTATGTCTTTAAAATTATGTGCTCTGCATTGTTTCTGAATGTCTTTGAGTACGTGCATACAAACACGTGTCTGTGTTTAAATATACGTCAATGACTTTACGTTTCTCAATATATTTATTTTTCTGGAAATTTATGTAATGTAAACATTTCTGTTTTTTGGTATATTTATGTGCAAGCATATTTATCTTTAAGAGGGTCATGTGAAGAGAGATTAGAAATTTAAATGATGGATGGGGGCAGCCTGGTGGCTCAGCAGTTTAGCACTGCCTTCATCCTAGGCCCTGATCCTGGAGACCCAGGATTGAGTCCCACCTCTCTGCATGGAGCCTGCTTCTCCCTCTGCCTGTGTCTCTGCCTCTCTCTCTCTTTGTGTGTCTCTCATGAATAAATAAATAAAATCTTAAAAAAATAATAAAAATAAAAAAATAAATGATGGATGGTATTTCAACTCGGGGTCCATAGGTGGATACATGACTCACATAAATGATCCTTAAATCAGGCTAGAAGGTTCTTCTTAGCCCTTTCTTGCCCTTCCTAGACATGGCTGACATTTCCTGGGGTCATTCCCACTTAAAAGGTACCTTTCTTGAAGCTGTCACCTTCTCCTTCCTTCTTGTGTTTTTGAACAGAGTGATTTCTATGTCCCTTTCCTTTTTATTCTCACCCCTAGGCTAGTTCTTCTCATCCCAGCTGGTTTTTCCTTAGTGATATTAGATGTGGTAGTAAGTTTTGGTTTACTAATACTTTTTAAGTCTCAGCAACTCTTTCTAAAGCAAAATTTGTTAGGATGGTAGGAAGCTAGGATATGGATTATAGGCTGCTACAAATTGTAGATGATCTGCTACTCCAGTTAAAAAGCTGAACTTGACAATATGTAACTCAAAACCCCTCAAGCTGTGTAGAGGGAGAACAATCTGTTTGGTTTTAAAAACACTTGAAACACACAGAGCAAATACTATTCATGAATCAATCCTAATTCCATGAGAACTAGGTAAATCCTAAAAATCTCAGATTAAATAAGATCTTAAAAGGACACATTTTTTTAAAAAAATTGAGTATCCACACTTAAAATTCAGACAGCCCTCTTGCCTGTTGGACAGGAAATCTTTTAAGATCCCCATTGGTTCTCTCTCTTTCCCATGTGGCCCACATCTGGTCCAAGGGAAACTCTCACAGAGCCTTTGCCTTGACATATTCTGGGTGTGGTGGCCACCCACACAGCCTCATCTATGCCCACCTCCAAAACAGCCAGCTCGCCAGCTCCCCTTCTCTCCATTTCTAGAGGGTCAGACACTCTAAGTGAAAAGATACATATCAAGATCATCAATGAGTATAGGAAAAGAAACCAACCTCTGGGTGTGTTTTGGCAGGTGTGTGTTGGGGAGGGGAATGGGTAGTCACAGCATAGTTCCTTTTAAAGGAAATCTTCATAAACCCCCTCCAATTTTCACACTTGAACTCTTATAGTCTTGATGAGGATGAATGCTTTGAGAACTTACTAGTTCCTTGAACTTCCTCTGAATTTACATCTTGCTCACTTTGGAATTTCACACCCATGATGTCTTGGTCAGAATTCTAACTTACCAACCTGGTACGCTAGTTTATATCTTTGGTCAAAACCTCTCTTTTAAATCCCATCTTGTCTATCCACCTGCTGAAATGACACCTCCACTAGAATGTCTTGAACCTAATAAAAATCAAATTCCTGATTCCACCCCTGTCCCTAAACTAATTCCACACTCTGCTTTTCCACCTCAAAAAACAGTATCATCTTCCCAGTTGCTTAAGCCAGAAACTGGACATCTTCCTTGATTCTCCCTATTTCTCATTGGCCTAAACTACTTCAACAGCCTCCTTCCTGATCTCCTTGTTCTCACTCTGTCCTCCCTCCAACCTGTTCTCCACACAGCAAGCAAAGTAATCTGTTTAAAAATGTGTCACTGGGCCCCATCTGTTTCCTCCACGAACTTTACTATATTTTCTAATTCTACACATATTTGCATGCTATATAGAACTTATGCTCCAGGAGAAAAGGGACCATGTCTGGTTTCTCTCCTCCAAAGTACCTCATAGTGACTAGCATATCATAGTAACTCAATACATAGTTGTAAAACACAATGAAAAACAAAGGACAAATGCCATTTCACATCATGAGTTTCCTCGGGTTTGATTCAGCTCCTCACAAACAAATAGCTTCCAGACATCCAGCTGCACCCCCACTTGCCTCCTTAAATATCTGGTCCTCCTCCCGCAGGCGCCTTTGCTCCACTTGGCGTCGACCACTCTCTTCAGCTTCTCGCATCCTCCGCTGCCTCTCGGCCAGCATGGCAAAAGCATGAATCCTCCTCTCTTCCTGTAGTCTCACCAGCTCTTTGGACAGAAAGTCAAACATGTCTGCCAGCACCCTTCCTTCCAGTCCAGCCAAATGGTTTTCAACCAGTGAGACCTTAAAAATAATAATACATTTTTAAGGATTCAAATTCTACTAAGTATGGGGATGTCTAAGGAGGGATGCTGGATTACCCAGAATCCTGACAGCCACTTCACTTTCAGAATGAACTCAGTGTTATTAGGACAATCATCATATAGTTTCACTCATACAGGGAATATAAAAAGTAGTGAAAGGGATTATAAGGGAAAGGAGGGAAAATGAGTGGGAAAAATTAGAGAGGGTGGCAAAACATGAGATACTCCTAACTCTGGAAACAAACAAAGGGTAGTGGAAGGGGAGGTGGGTGGGGGGAATGGGGTAATTGGGTGATAGGCACTGAGGAGGGCACTTGATGGGATGAGCACTGGGTGTTATACTATATATTGGCAAATTGAGCTTCAATCAAAAAAAATAAATTAAATTAAATAAGATAGGAATAATTAAAAAATTTTAAAAAGAGATATTATCACTAGGCTGGCCCCATCCCAAGAGTTCTTACTAAGAAAACTTATGATACAAACTTAGTCATAAGAAAGTGATTGCTCAGTCAGTCACTGACAGGTTAGATTCCTCAAATTATGATGAGGATTTAACAAAACGTTTCTGTTAGTATCCACACAAATTTTTTTTTTCATTTTTATCTAGAAGGTAGCGTGCTTCTATTTTCCCAGACAAGAAGGGAAATGTCAGGGTTTTTATTAAAAAGATTTTTTTGGAGCTCAATAAAATGGAGTCTCCAAGAAATTCACTCAGGATACCTTTTAATTTTTTTTAAAGATTTTATTTATTTATTTATGAGCGACAGTGAGAGAGAGGCAGAGACACAGGCCAAGGGAGAAGCAGGCTCCATGCAGGGAGCCTGATGTGGGACTTGATCACGGATTTCCAGGATCACACCCTGGGCTGAAGGCAGTGCTAAACCGCTGAGCCACCTGGGCTGCCCACCCTTTAATTTTTTAATGCTTGGTTCTTTGACACAAGTTTGGGGAATTTTAAGTTCTTGAATCATCAAAGTAGAGAACTGTGGGACTCTTTATTCTTTTAAATAACTTCAAAGTCATTAAGAACTATCTTTGAAACAGAGCAGGAAAAAGCCTACAGGTCTATGTAAGTGTTGAGGTAAAGTTGGGGCCTGGAGTATCTATTTATGGATCCTTCTGTCCTGGCTTTGACACCTGGAGAATAAAAGTGTTTAAGAAGATTGCTTCCGGGGGATCTCTGGGTAGCTCAGTGGTTTAGCACCTGCCTTTGGCCCAGGGCGTGATCCTGGAGTTCCCGGGACCGAGTCCCACATTGGGCTCCCTGCACGGAGCCTGCTTCACCCTCTGCCTGTGTCCCTGCCTCTCTATGTCCCTCATGAATAGGTAAAATCTTAAAAAAAAAAAAAAAAGAAGAAGAAGATTGCTTCTTTTGCAGCTTCATCCTGTTCCTTCTCCTATCCTCAGGTATAAGGGGAAAGGGCTCTTCTCCCAGTCTGTACTGGGTTCTGTACTCCTTCTGTACTGGGTTCTTCTCTGGTTTGTATCGAAGGGAGGTAACAACACAGATCTCAAAGGTGATGGAGCTACTGGTAAGACTGTCATTCAAGTGTGGACATCAGCCCCAACACCCTTCTCCTCCTCCTCCCTCACCTCCCAGCCCATACATGCTTTCTAACTACAAAGTTCAGCTTTACTTACATGATAGAGGGCGGTGGAAAGGAAGGGTCACATGAAGAGTGCCTAACTACTCCTTACATTATAAACTGATCATTCAGCCCACAGACCACAAATGAATCCTCTCCTTGTCTCAGGATCACAAGCTCCTTCAGTTGGGGGCAGGGGGGCAGATGCAACCTTTAAAACCCAAGATGGCTACTTGTTCATGTACAGCCTCCTCCCTCAGCAAGAAATTTGAGAATGCTAAGGTAGTGCAATCTAATTAGAAAATTAAGTAAAAATATTTAGGAAGGTGATTTTGCTGTGATCATATCATGCAATATATTACATAATAGGGAACTGTGCATTTTCTGCACTATTCCCCATAGAAAATACAAGAGGAAAAAAAAAAAGGAGGAGAAAAGGAGAGGATCAGTTGGAGGTATATGTGAGGTGCCCCCTCCCTCAGATTCCTGCATATCACTGATGTATCCAGGTAGACGGAAGGTAAGCAGGGTGAGAGTCCTTTGCTAAGTTACTGCTCTTTCCATTAACTCCTCCTTTAGCTGTTAGGTGACATGATAGCAGTTAAGTATGTGCCCACTAACTGGGACAGATGAGTTAAAAAGCCTGGACTGGCTTACGTGCACCTGCTAATGTCTATAATCAGAAACTTCAAAGGGCCAAGGAGGGCATTTTTCTACCCAGTTTCTGGGTCCTGGTGCTCCCATCTGAACAGAAGCACAGGCCCTGGCTCTCTCATTTCCAGGACTCTCAGACCTCCAGATTCAGAGACTCTAGTGTCCACATTCCCTTATTTCTCTAGTCTCTCTGTTGGGTCTGTTAGCCTTTGGTTTTCCTCCTCCCTTGCCTACACTAGCTCCTCCAAACTCAGAGACCATCCATAAGCCCAGTGTCACGTAAAAGGACTAATGTGCTCATTTCCAAGCTGCTTACCTTTTGTGCCCAATCCCACATGGCCCAAGCAGTACATGTGTTACTAAGGGCGGGTTATATTAACTTCACTGTGAGTTTGCTTTCTTATAACACCAAACTGGGCCAATTGATTCTTTTTCATATTGATTTATAGGTTAAGTGGGAAAGATAGTAAAATCCTGTCTACCCTTTGGTCAGCAACATTAAAAGCTGCACACATGGACAAATGCCAGAAGAAAATAGGAAAAACATTTACAGTTGTTGAGTAGAGCTGCAATTACCAGCTGTTGTCAGATGACATGATGAGAGCCACAGAATACCATGAGATCTTAACATATTTAACATGCAGTTTAACCAGCATGGGCTAGGTACAGTTCCAAAACTCATAAAATAAGTGCTGATATTTTAAAACAAATTTCCTGTCTTTTTTTTTTTAGCTTTTATTTTCATACTGCTAAACTCCCACTTAAATATAGTAGACTCATCAAATACTTAAGAAAATTGGAAGGAAAACCCTTTTTAAAATATGGGATTTGTCTTTTTTTTTTTTTTGCAAGTAAAATAAGACCATATTCAGTTCAGTGAGGGCACCACCCCCCCATTCCAATTCTAGACTGCAGCAGCATTGTTTAAAAATGCCAACTGATAGAGTGATGGGATGGGGGTGGTGGATGTTTCTTTTTTGTCGTTTCATTTACTGTTCTTATGATGCTGCTTGCGCAGTAATAACAACCTGGGGAGACAGATTCACAAGAAATAAAGGAAAGAACCTTGTGCTCATGCAGGTTTCTCTGCCGCTGTAAGGCCAGCGTCACTTGCTTCTCGGCTTTCTTCAGCAGCCTATCGTCCTCTTGCAGTGCATGGCTGGTGCGTAGCTCCTGGATCAACTCCAGTCGCTTTTCCTTGCCTTCAAACATCTGTAGCAAATCAAACCAAATCAGAAAGAAACTTGCAGGTTAGCATCCCTCGTGCGAGGCACAAGGACTCCTGCTGTGACTGGTGAGGCACTTGTGAACAGTGGTGAGTTTGGTTCTGCCTTCTGGGACCACAGAGCTTAAAGCTCAGCCCTCTTTTCTGCACATCCAGCTGCTCAGGTAGAGAAAGAGTTGTTAGTTGTTTACTCAATTTCTTAAAATGTCTCTCAAAGACAAAATGGTTACTATAGTGTCATATAAGAAACTTGAATCTCCCCTTCATTTTCTGTGCTCTTTCCCTAAGAAGACTGAGGATGGTATTTTTTATAGTCATGCTTTCTTTTTCCAAGAGATCTGCCCCTATTATAATACACAATCTGCTGTGACATTTTTCCTGGGGAAATATTCAAGGAGAGTAAAGAGTAATGCTGGACACGAGATGCTCACCCAGCTTCTCTGGACATACTAATTATAACTGAGTCTCTTACAAGTTACAGCTATAAGAGGACAAAATTTTTTTTTAGCTGGTGCTTTATATCAGTCCATTTTAAAAATTAAAGTGTGCTTGTACAAATAACATGGCAAAGGCTCTACAGTCAGGAAGACCAGAGCTGAATTTGCTAGCAGTTAACATAATCTCAGACTCACATCACTTGCCTGTAAAATGGGGTAACTAAAAGGAAAAAAATGAGATGATAGATGTAAAGAATATACAATGTGAGCTTACATTAGGGGTTCAAAACGGTAGTTAGTATTACTTATCTGTTTATTATTCAAATATTGCTAGCTATATGCAAACTCAAATAATTATAACTTTATGGAAAATCAGGGAATCCACTTGGTTTGTGATGTCTTAATAGTTAAAATTCAGGAGCACCTGGCTGGCTTGGTTAGTAGAGCACGCAAATCTTGATCTCACGGTCCTGAGTTGAAGCCCCATGTTGGGTATAGAAATTACTTACATAAATAAACTTTTTTAAAAAAAGTCTAAATTCAAGCAAGAAAATCGCTAGATTTAGCAATTCTAAGGAAGATATTAATTTCACCTTGCCTTGGTTACAACTGTGACAAACAGCAAGCAAGCAGGTCCTTTCTTTCCTTGACACTGTGCTGCCCACTTGGCAAACTATGACAGTAGAAAGGAATGAGCAGGTAATGCAAGAGTATATAGCTCCATAAGAGAGCAGGGTGCAAGAGGGAATTCACCCCAAAGAACCAGTACATACACATTCTATAAATCTATTCTCAAAGGAGAAGCACAGGACCAGTGGATGGACCCTACACACCATGTTCTGAATGACTCTTCCCCGAAGTAACTTTTGAAGGTAGATCACAGCCATTTCTATATCTTCTTCTTCCTAAAAGAACAAAGTAAGAATCAAGCAGCTTGAGAACAGCAGTGGTCAGCATCAAATAGTTTTTTGAAGACTTAGATCAAGCAAAAGAGATTATGCTAGATGCCAAAAAGATTTAGAGAAATAAATAAGGCCTACACTCTCATTGAACATAGAGTATTTTATTTTATTTTTTTTTTGAACATAGAGTATTTTAAATGTTACTTACTGTATTGTTAAAATTCATCATTTTTATAAGATATCATTAAAAAATCATATCAAAAGCAAAAAATTAATTCTATCCCTACAAATTAAGCCATTTTCAATTTTCTATATTCCTTTCCAGCAAAATCTTTCTTGAAGCAACAAGTATTGCTTATAATATCCCTTTTGCAATTGTTTTTTTTTTTTCATGTTTGATCAAGAGTAGACTAGGAATACAGCTAGTCTATGTCAGTCTAGAGTAAGGTACTTCTCACAAGAATTTAGATAAACTGGTAAAATCAGAATGGACAAGATTAGCCACCACGAAAATCACCTTAAATGACTGTTTTTTTGCTTTTGACAGTCTGCAAATCTATTAAAGTACCTCTGAATACAAAAGAAAGCAACAGAAATCAACAGCATAAACACATTTAATAGACAATGTGTTAACCATAGGGAGTGATTGGCACAAAATCTAGAAAGGTGGATGTCCAGAAGCATATCCTGGCCAGTCAGTGAGAGTACTACAGTATCTCTACATAGGTCACACAGGTGACCCGTCAGAGGCGCTAATGAGATCTGTCAACTCCTTTCCCTCTGACATAGGACAACAACCTTATTAATATGATCTGGCTTCTTGTGAGAATTGCCTTAAACAGGGAGATAATGGGCTGAGAAGAAGGGTTGCTAAGAATATCCCCATCTAACAGGCAGTTATCCTCCCATTGAGCAGTACATTTGTATTGTGTCATCTCTAGGAGTTTCTTGGTCAGGTTGGGGGTGAAGGTTTTGAGGGGAGAGGGTGGCTGTCAAGTCCGAGTCAGTCCGAAATCCTGACTAACTCTGGTATCTTGGCCAAACTGGGTTAGGAGATCTATGAAGGTGAGGTATGACCCTGGTCAGGGTGAATTCTTTGAGCCAGTCCTACCTCAGAAGCCAGCCTGTCCTCATGACATCTCTGTCACTTCACTCTTCTCTGACTTCAGCTGTCCAGAAGCCACCTCCCTATGTTGCAAGATGGTTATGGTAACTGACTGTCATTTGATCTTTTTTTATTTGACACACATTAGGAATACCTTTTGATGCCTATTTTTCTTGTCATTTTGCTTATTTGTGTGTTTGATGTTTGAAGCATAAGAATATATGCCATAGCAGTCAGATCTTGAGAAGGTAATCCTGTTAAATTAGGTTTGTTTTTAACCCAAAGTATCTAAGGATAAACAGACAACAATACTGAATTTAGCATTTCGAATAAAGTTTCAAACTTACATTGGAACTCATTTCCAAGGTTGGCGTTGGAAGCCGAGGTTGAGGTACAGCCTTTCTTTGAAGGAAGCGCAGAAGTTTCTTTGGTTCAAGAACTTTATTCTTCTTATCCAATATTGCCTGGAATAACACCAACTAGCGTCACTTCTTACCTTTGTATTTTCTTCCACTACTAGATCTAGACACAGGTCTGAATATCAATCAGAAACAATCTTCACTATGGCTATGCCAGAACTTTTTGAATAAGGCCAAAACTGGGTGCTTGTATGACCCATGGAATAGTATGATACTCCTAAACATCAGCTAAACACTCAGTAAACAGGGCACGTAGGTTTTATCCATTTTAATCAAAGATTTGGAGGTTTAAAAAAAATTGAGATTTTAAAAGTTTTGGTCATGTGTGTGTGCAAGCAAAATCCCTGACTCCTTTTCTTCTACAAGAGCCAATTAACTATTTAAAACAAGTTCCTGGGCAACAGAAAATTTCCCCCTGCCATAAATGACAGAAATCTGGTATGTTCTATTGTTATGAAGGAACTGAGGAGCATTAAAGGCAATTGTCTCCAAGTGAAGAAAGAGCTTTCCTTTGGCCATGAAAGCCTGCAGCTCACATTTTCTGAAACTGAACTTGTTTCCTTGCGAAAGAGTATGTGTGTGTTTTGATTTCAACATACATTTTATTGATTTTACTTTTGATCACCAAAAGTCCCCCAAATTATACAACATTATAATTTGTTATAATGGTTTTGTTCATTGCTTCTGTTTTCAGCCATATGGGGATACTTTTAATGTAAAAGTATCAAAAAGCCTGATCTCTGTTGTTTAAAAATCATACTTGAGAATCATGTTTTTCATCATATAATTTTTACATTAGTTTTTCCACAGAAAATACAGAGAACATAGATAAAAACAAGTACTAAGCCAAATCTTGAAACTAATAAACATATGCAAATTGAGTAAAATTTGAAACCACATGAAATTATTGTGGTTTTAACAGAACCCTCTGAGTTTCTACAAGATAAAAACTGACACCAAATACATAACAGCTCTAATATATAACAGTTCTACAATAACCACAACAACAGACTCAACAGAAAGCAGCAGCAGTCTAAAAAAATAATAATTCTGAAGTCAAGCATCTCTTGAGTGTGTTGCCCTGAAGAGCACTACAATGAAACCATTTTAAAACCAATCATTTATAATATGTTGGTAGGGATCTGGGAAAACTGGCACTCTCACATATTCAGCAATTAGTATGCATTTATGTAAGAAAATTTGTCAATATCCATCAAAACTATAAATGCAGGCATATTGTGGCCCAGCAATTCATGTCTAGGGATTTTCTTTTAGAGATGTTCATACATGTACTAAATGATATGCAAACAGCGTTATTTTTGATACAAAAAAACTTGGGACTGGTTAAACATGTTACATTTATATTATGATGTATCCATGCAAAAAATGATGTAACACAATTACGGGATGATCTCTAAGATATATTAAATAATAAAAGCACAGACAGAGCAGTGTGGATTATGTATTAACATTTGTGTAAAAAAACACATTTGTGTAAAAAAGTTGAAGATACTTATAGGTATTTATATTTATTTTTATATATTTCTAAATATACACATATACATATCTCTATATGGAGATATACATAGATACAGATATATTTGCCTGTAAGATATCTCTGGAAGGAAAGCATCTTATACCAAAGCCAAGAGTTCAGATAAAAACAAGGACAGTAAAAGAATGTGAATTCTTTGATACCATCAGCTACAACAAACATTAAACACTGCCCAACATCTAGCCAGATTAATATAAATCCCACCTATAGACTATTTACCTCAATTCCTATTGCTTTATAACAGATGTCAGGCTTTCAACAAAAAAACTAAAAGGCATTCCAAAGGCAAGAAAAACACAGTCTAAAGAGAGAAGTAACCATCAGAACCAGAGTCAGATATGATATAAATGTTGGAATTATCAGACAGAAAATTTAAAATAACAATGATTAATATGTTAAGGGCTCTAATGGAAAAGGTGGATGACATGCAAGAATGGATAAGTAATGTAAATAGAGATAGAAACTCAAAGAATCAAAAGGAAAGGCTAGAAATCAAAACATTGGAACAGAAATGAAGAATGCTGTCAATGGGCTCATCAGTAGACTCAAAAAAAAGAAAAGAAACCAGGAACTTGAAGATATGTCAATAAAAACTTCCCAAAGTGAAATGCAAAGAGAAACAAGGAAGTAGAACAAGATATCCAAGAACTGTGAAATGATATCAAAGGAATAATATGTATAACTGGGATACCAGATGGAGAAGAGAGAATGCAGAATAAAATTTGAAATAATAATAATGGCTGGAAACTTTCCTAAAGTAATGACAAACACCACCCACAGATCCAAAAAGCTTAGAGAACACTAAGCAGGACACACACGCACACGCGTGTACACACATACACACACACACACAAACACCTCAGGCATATAATATTTAAATTAGAGAAAACCAAAGACCAAGAGAGAAGTTTGAAAGACGCCAGAGAGAAAACACACCTTAACTATTGAAGAACAAAGTTAAAAATTACAGTGGAATTCTAGTCAGAAACCATCCATGCAAAAAGAGAGTAATGGGAAATCTTCGAAGTGTTGGGAAAAACTCCCACCAACCTAGAATTCTACACTCAATATAATCATTATTCAAAAGTGAAAAGATCACAATTTTAAACTTACTTCTTTCAAAAGATACTATCAAGAAAATAAAAAGACAAAAAATAAAAGTAAGAAGACATCCCACAGACTGGGAGGATAATCTGTGAATTGTATATCTGACAAGGGTATATAGTCCTTGGAATATATAAGAACTCCTACAACTCAACAATAAATAGACATTAAAAGTAATGTCTCTAATAAACAAACAAAAAGACAACCCAATTAAAAATGAGCAAAGGATCTGAATAGACATTTACCCCAAAAAAGATATACAAATGACCCTGGGGTGCCTGAGTGGCTCAGTTGGTTAAGTGTTTGCCTTTAGCTCAGGTCATGATCCTCGGGTCCTAGGATCAAGCCCTGTGTCTTCTCTCCTTCTGCTAATGCACACTCTCTCTCAAATAAATAAATAAATAATAATATAAATAATAAATAAATAAAACCTTTTAAAAAAAAGATATACAAATGACCGAAAGGCACATGAAAAAGATGCTAAAACTCATTAATCATTAGACTAATGCAAATTTAAACCATAATGAGATATCACAGTACACACACTAGAATGGCTAAAATAAAAAAGATAGGCAGGAATAAGCGATGGCAAAGGTACAGAGAAGGGGATCCCTGGGTGGCTCAGCAGTTCAGCACCTGCCTTTGGTCCGGGACATGATCCTGGAGTCCCGGGATTGAGTCTCACATTGGGCTTTCAGCATGGAGCCTGCTTCTCCTTCTGCCTGTGTCTCTGCCTCTCTCTCTATATATATCTATCATGAATAAATAAACAAAATTTTTTTAAAAAGGTACAGAAAAATCAGAATCCTCATACATTCCTGGCAGAAATGTAAAACAGTATAGCCCCTTTTGAAACAATCTGGTAGTTCCTCACAAAGTAAAACAGTTATCTGGTGACCCAAGAATTCCATTCCTAGGTACAAAGCCAAGAGAACTGAAGAACTTATGTCCACACAAAAATGTGTACACAAATGTGCATATCAGCATAATTTATAATAGATAAAAAGTAGAAACAACTCAAATTTTTATCAACTGATGAGCAGATAAACAAAATGTGATACATCCACACAATGGAATATCATACAGTCATAAAAAGTAATGAGGTACCTACCTACAACATAGATGAACTTTGAAAACATCATGCTAAGTTAAAGAAACCAGACATAAAAGGCCATACATTGTTTGATTTCATTTATATGAAATGTTCAGAATAGGCAAATCCATAAAAGGAAAGATTAGTGGTCGTCAGGGGCTAGGGGGAAGAAGGTAATTGTGAGTGACTGCTAATGGGTGCAAGGTTTCTTTTTGGGATAAAGAGAGTATTTTGGAATTAGAAATTGGTGATAGTTGAACAATCTTGTGAGTATGTATACTAAAAACAACTGAACTGTATATTTTAAAAGAATGAATTTTATGGTATGTGAGTTATATCTAAAAAAGAAATCATATAGGAGAAATAAAGACTTGCTGAGACAAACAAAAACAAAGAGAGTTCATTGCCAGGAGACCTTCCCTGTAATAAATGGTAAAACAAGTTCTCCAGGCAGAAGCAAAGTGACATAGGTCAGAAACTTGCATTTCTATAAAGAAAGGAACAGTGGCATACAAAGAATAAATGAAGGTAAAATAAACTATTTTTTCTTATTTTTAATTGATCCAAAATATAACTGTTAAAGCAACGAGAGTACAAACGTATTGGGTGATTATAGCATATGGATCAGTGAAATGAATGACAGCAATGCCAACAGACAGTAGGAATGAATGGGGAATAATATGCTATAAGGGACATATACTACATGTAAAGTGATAATATTATTTGAAGGTGAACAGATTATTTTATATGTAAACTCATATACTAGTTCACAAGAGAAACATACCTAAGTTTCAAAGAATAGGGATTCCTGCCCATAGGGCAAAGGAGTTAGAAGTTATTTCAAAAAGAGTGAAAATTCCTGCAAATTTAGAAATTTAAAAACCTAAATACTTATAGGTTCAAAACTGTAGCAGATATTTTTAAAAATTAGATACTAGTATTAATAAACACTCCATATCAAAACTAATGGAATATACTAAATAAAGCCAGTGTTTTGAAGGAGATGCTTAGCCTTCAATACTTATTTATAAACCTGATGAGTGCCTGAAAATTAATGAACTACATGTCTACTCTAAGTTAGGAAAAGAACTACAAAACAAAAAGAAGAAAGATATATATGAATGGGAGTTACTGCAACTGAAGTAGAGAAAATCAACAAAGTCAGAATTTCATTCTTTAGAAAAACAATACCAAGAAAATTAATAAACCCCCAGCAAAAATGAATAAGGAAAAAGAGTAAAAGCACAAATAATATTATAAATGAAAAAAGGCATGATTATAGTACAACAAACACTAAAAAGATTTTAAATAATACTATCAACAACCATATGTCAAAAAATATGAAAAGCTAGGTGCAACAAAATCTATAAAGAAAATGTAATTTTTCAGGATACCTGGCTGGCTCAGTTGGGTTATAAGTGTACTACTCTTGGTTTTGGCTAAGGTCATGATCTCAGAGTCATGAGATTGAACCCCTAAGTTGGGCTCTGCACTGGGCATGGAGCCTGCCTAAGATTCTCTCTCCTCCTCCTCCTCTCCCTCTCCTATACAAACAGTGTATGTTCTCATTCATTTGGGGAATATGAATAATAGTGAAGGGGAATATAAGGGAAGGGAGAAGAAATGTGTGGGAGATATCAGAAAGGGACACAGAACATAAAGACTTCTAACTCTGGGAAATGAACTAGGGGTGGTGGAAGGGGAGGAGGGTGGGGGGTGGGGGTGAATGGGTGACGGGCACGGAGGGGGACACTTGACGGGATGAGCACTGGGTGTTATTCTGTATGTTGGTAAATTGAACACCAATAAAAATTAATTTATAAAAAAAATTAAACTTAAAATTAAAAAGAAATAAAAAATAAATAAAATGTAATTTACCAAAACAATGCAGATAGTTCCGTAAGCAGTAAGGAATCTGAAGGAGTGGTTGGAATTTTCCCATGAAGAAAACATCAGTCTCATAATTTTAATAAGAATATTCTACCAAACTGAAGAAATAGGTCATTTTAAACCTATTTAAATTCTTTTCAAAAATAGAAAAGAAGGAATACTCCACAGTCATTTCAGAAGACCTGGATAACTCTGACACCAATGCCATACGTAGTCAAAATGAGAAAGAAAAAGGTGATTTCACTCATGAATATGGAATCAAAATTCTGATAAACGTATTAGTAAATCAAATCCAACAATGTATTGGTTTTTTTCTTTTTCAAATTTTTATTTAAATTCTAGTTAACAAATAGTATAATATTGGTTTCAGAAGTAGAAATTAGTGATTCATCACTTACATATAACACACAGTGCTCATCATAACAAGTGCCCTCCCTAATACCCAACACTGTATTGAAAATAAAACAACTTGACCAAGTTAGGTTCATTCCCAGTGCATAAGAATAGATGAATTTTGTAAAAAACAAAACAAAAACCTATAAATGTTCCTTATTACCATAATTTTAAAAAGAAAAATATATAATTACTTCAATTCATACAGATAAAACATGATAAAATTCAGCAGGAACCCATGATTAAAGTTTCAGTAAATGAGGAAAGAAGAGAACTTCCATACTCTAATAAAAAGTGTCTGAAAAAAACTCTTACAGAAAGTGAGAGAATAATGAACACAGTTCAGAATGGGTAAATGGAGATAGGGGAATGAGGTGAGAAAGAACCACATAGATACACATGAATTATTGTCAAAGTCCTAAATTTTTTTTAGAGAGAGAGCATGGATGTGTACCTTGCAGGGCTGGGGAAGGGGGGTGAGGTGGGGGAGGGAGAGAATCTTAAGTGGGCTCCACACCCACATGGAGCCACAGCAGAACTTAATCGTACATCCCTGAGATCATGACCTGAGCTGAAATCAAGAATCAGATGCTTAACCACCCAGGCGCCCCAAAGTCCCAATTTTGATTTTGATTATGGGCTTCTGTGGATTATTCTATTACTAAAACCAACTGAACACACAAACACAGGGACCAGTGATGAGATTATGTCATGAACCAGTGAGTCTCAAAGGGTAGTTCCTGCAGATCAGCATTACCTGGAAACTTGTAACACCTGCAAATACCCCAGCCCCACCCCAGACCTACTGAATCAGGAACTTTGGAGGGCCTAGCAACATGTGTTTTAACAAGTGATTCTGATGCATGCTAAAGACTGAGGAGCGTGCTCATAAATCACAAGTTCAAGAGTCTGTACACTTGTAGTCCAATTAACAAAAGGGAAGCACAGCTGGTAGATGCCATGTACTCGTTTCATGAGGACAACCATTGCACTTTTTCATGTGGTTGGGCTTTAAACCAGATTAGAGAGCACTTGAACATGATTCCCTTTCTTCCTGATGCCCTGGGAACATTCTAAAAGAGAGAAAATGAAGTCTTTTTGACTATTAAAACCAGCAGTAGGGATCCCTGGGTGGCGCAGCGGTTTGGCGCCTGCCTTTGGCCCAGGGCGCGATCCTGGAGACACGGAATCGAATCCCACATCGGGCTACCGGGGCATGGAGCCTGCTTCTCCCTCTGCCTGTGTCTCTGCCCCCCTCTCTCTCTCTCTCTCTCTCTCTCTCTATCATAAATAAATAAAAAATAAATAAAAAAAAAAACAGCAGTAATTCCTAACACTAGAAACCTGCTACCCCTAAACGCAGTGTCAGGTTTTATTATGTAGATGCAAAGTCAGAACTACTTTTAGGAAGTAACATGACTCCTGCAAATCGGGAGAAGAGCCTCCAGCAGATTTTCCTACAGCTTGAAATGAGGGGGAAAAACACTGGTTCAGCATAGCACTGGCAAATTCCAAAAGATGAAAGTCTGGAGAGGAGAAAAAATGTAGAGTGATGTGTTGAGAACTACTGGACACTGCAGTTTTGGAGATGGGGTATCTCACTGCAAAAGTCCTACTAATAGCATCTTGCTCTACCTTATGAACCTCTGCCAATTCATGGTCCATCCTTGCTGCCCTCTTGAGAAAACCAGCTTTCGTGGTAGTGACTTTTGGCTTCGGAGGTCTGATTCGGGGGTGTGTCACAAAATCTGGGAGACTTGACTCAAGTTCAACTAATCCTACAGGAATGAAGTACATGTTTTTAATATTCAGTGACTGCAGTTGGCGTTTGAAAGCATATTGTTAATTTTAGTAGCTGTTTGCCAAGTGGTTTCATTTGGAATTGATCAGATATATAGCTCACATAATTGAAGTGGCCCCAAAACATAAAGCAAATTTGTGCATAAATTAGCTCATGTTCTCAGTGATTTAGACCATAAAATGCAAAATGCATTCTAATAAAATATTTCCCTAAAAAAAGGAATGAGTTTTATGATAATAGCCAACAGAAATTTAGTGATCATATGGTACATGGGACCACCATTCTATCGGGGATGTACACCGATTTATCATATTCTGCTCTGGAGAGTTCAACAGTGTGACCACCAACTCATGATCTTGGCCATGTGTATGCTTCAACTTGTCAATGAAAATTTAATCTAGGGATCCCTGGGTGGCGCAGCGGTTTGGCGCCTGCCTTTGGCCCAGGGCGCGGTCCTGGAGATCCGGGATCGAGTCCCACGTCGGGCTCCCGGTGCATGGAGCCTGCTTCTCCCTCTGCCTGTGTCTCTGCCTCTCTCTCTCTCACTGTGTGCCCATCATAAATAAAAAAAAAAAAAAAAAAAAAAAGAAAATTTAATCTAAATAAGCCTCTCTGGGACTTGATGAGAAGTATAGCCCTCACCATGAATTTTATCCCCTAGTTATCCATTTCCTTACCCACTAGTTTTCTAGCACTTCTTCTTTAAGGGCTGATTTCATGATAAGTTCCTTGTTGACTTTCTAAAGCTTGTATAAAAGCTTTTTTGGTTTCATTTTTCTGTGACTTTATTAGTGATATTGAACACGTTTAAATGTTTAGTAGCTAAACACTGATATATTGTTATACAGTGGATTCGTTTACTTGGGTCTTAGGAGTTTTTATTGGTTTTTATGAACTTATATTAATAATAATAAATGTGTTCATTGCTATTTCTTGAAAATATTTTTGTTGTTTAGCCTTTAATCTAATATTTCTAGTACTTTAATACTGCTACTACTGGACTTGTAATTATGTAAATTGCTTACCTTCATAGGTGTTGAGATAGTAGTTTTTTACTACAAAGTCCTCTGAATTGTTGTCAGGGAAACGACCAAGACGAGACAGAGGTCCATAGACCTGTGATGCATAATCAGAATAATCCTTGATGATATTTCTTCTCTCCAACTTCCCTTCTATATTCCTTCCCTTTCCCGCAAGTTTTCTGATTGCTAGAATAAAACATACCTCTGTGACTATCTTCAAAATATTGTTCTGAACAAATGCATAATAATAGGCCAGTTCTACTTTTATTCACAGGGAAGCTACTCAGCGAAATGAATTTCAACGATGGCCACTCACTGCAGCCGGAATGTAATACTAAGAACAGAGGTCTGTCATCTGTGTGGACCAGTTTCATCATGAGACAAGTGCGAGTGACAGAAGCTGAGTCGATTAGTGTCCTCAGTTGGTATGCAACAGAAATCTTTTATAACTGCATTCCAAGCTCTGAGGCAAGAAGGGGTATTCAGTAACAGTTTGTCAAGCTAATGAAAGAAACTCAAAGTAACCCAAAAAAACCATGGTCAGTGGAGATTCGGAAAATTATTTTCTCCTAGGAAAATAATTGCAAGGGAGGAAAGACTACAGGTTCTTCGATAATCTCTTTCCATCTTGGCTCACACCAGAATAAAGCACAATGTATCCCAGCTCAGAGCTCTTCAGAACTGTTTGGCAGTGGGAGGGAAAATGCTCAGCTGTGCACACTGGGAGTTTACTCATTAAGGAGTCATGCTTACTACCTCCGCCTGTTCCTTTTCTCTCAGATCTATCACAGAGCCATCCCTGCTGAGGGCTCTACACTGTGCACTCTGGATGGGATTAAAATCATACTGTGGGACTGCAAAGTCTTATTTTAAGAGGTGGCTGCAGGCACCACTGCTTCCTCGTGGGCATTTAAGTTGGTTCTCCAAGCTTTTGTGTGGGACTTGGGGTTTTGAAACGAAATATAGTTTACGTTTGTTATGTATCTTTTTTTAATTAGTTTCAGAGGTAGAATTTAGTGGTTCATCAGTTGCATATAACACCCAGTGCTCATCATATCAAGTGCCCTCCTTACTGACCATCACCTAGTTATCCCATCTCCCCATCCCCCTCCCCTCCAGCAACCCTCAGTTCATTATCTACAAAAGTTAGTCAATCATCATTAGTTATATCAGGTACCGAAAAGAAAAAATGCTGACAATATCTAAGTGCATACCTAGCAGCTAGTTAAAAGTTATTTTCTCACATCAAGAAAGCGTTAAAAGTTCAACTAAAAATAATTCTTTTTGTTCTCAACTAAAAATAATTCTAAGGAATTTTTATAATTGTTTTACTTTTGCTAGAAAAATAACAAATTTGATTTTTTAAAAATCATGATTAATCTATTATGCATATAAATTGTCAATTAGCACATATAATTGATATTATTTTATAAGTAAATTACATTATAAGTTACTAAGCAACCAAAATTATAAAGTTAAATAATAAGTTAAAAATTTTTATTTAATTTTAATTTTTATTATTACTTTTTTTTTGAGAGGGAGGGGGCGCTAGCAAGGGGCAGAGGGAGAGAATCCTAAGCAGGCTCCATGCCCAGTGAGGAGCCCAACATGGGGCTTGATCTCACGACCCTGAGATCATGACTAGAGCCAAAATCAAGAGTCAACACTTAACCAACTGAGCCATGCAGGTACCCTCTTTTTAATTTTTTTTAAAAGATTTTATTTATTTATTCATGAGAGACACAGAGAGAGAGAGATTGAGAGAGAGAGAGAGGTAGAAACACAGGCAGAGGGAGAAGCAGGCTCCATGCAGGGAGCCTGATGTGGGACTCAATCCTGGGACTCCAGGATCACACCCTGGGCTGAAGGCAGGTGCTAAACTGCGGGGCCACCCAGGCCCTTTTTAATTTTAATTTTAAAATATTACATAGTTATTCTTTTTTTTTAATTTTTTTCATAGTTTAATCACCCACTGACTGCTCTTTTTATGTGTACAGATATAGTACATAAACAGATACACAGCATACCCATGTTATTAAAATTTCATGGGAGGGGGTAAGGAGAAAAGATGTCTAAATGTATCACTTAGGAGCAGTAATAAAAAAGGTTGAGAAAATAGGGCTCTCTATCCAGGACTTCAACCCATGAATATGGGAAGCCCAACCCCTTTCACACGCACACATGCACACACACACACACTTACCCCATAGTGTCAATAACCTGACTACCTGTTGGAACATCATTACTTGGTTTTCTTAGTGAAGAATTTTCCTCCACTCTTCTACTTTTGAGAAGTAATTCATCTCTTTTACTTATTTAATAACATTAGGATGCAAAAGAATTCTATCTAAATGAGGTTTGATCAAAGATTCAAAGCAAAGCCAACCCTCCCATTCTCTTCATTGTTAATATGACATCATTACCTACTACATGTGTGTGCTGAATCTGTGCCAACTTTGCCTCCTTCGCTTCCTGCAGTTGAGACCATCGGGCATTCAAGTGCTTCATGTTCACTTCATTTTGATTCTCATCACGTTTCTTCAGCAACTCTTTTAGAACTTCCAGACGAATCTCCTGTAATCTTTAAGTAAATCACCAAACATAAAGAAGTGTTTGTTATCTCAGACTATTCTACTAGGGAGAGAGGAAACACCTGCCATAAACAGAATCTTCTCTTTGGGCTGGTACCATATTCATGTATTTAAAACGACCACTCTATCAAAGTGTGACAGATACATTGGGTGTTTGGGGGAGGCAACTCCTAGTGGATCTCTCTATAACAGGAATATGTATGGGACACCCGGGTGGCTCAGCAGTTTAGTGCCTGCCTTCAGCCCAGGGCATGATCCTGGAGACCCGGGATCGAGTCCCACATCGGGCTCCCTGCATGGAGCCTGCCTCTCCCTCTGCCTGCGTTTCTGCCTTTCTCTCTTTGTTGTCTCTCATGAATAAATAAATAAAATATTTTTTAAAAAGGGAATATGTATGGGCATAGTTCTGAAAGGCAAAGAAGAGTATGCCAAGTAAATAAAAGGGTTCTCTAGGCAGATGGGTCTAAATGAACAAGAAGATGTCTGTGCACAGTTCCAGGTCCACAGGTATTGGCTGGAGAGTTAAGTAATACGAGTGAAGAGAAAATGAGACAGCATGCTATTTTAAGAAATACACGTGAAAATGTCAGTGTCTGGCACATATAGACATTAATCAATCTTTGTTTCCTTTCCCCTTCCCTTCATCTTGTTCTCCTAAAGTTGCCTTGCTCATGTTTATGCAACCATGCACACATGACTTCAAAATCTGTACCTCCAGCCCAGGTATTTCTGAACCAGAATTCCTATCTACTTGAATTTCCGGCTACCCTGACAATCTCAAAAAAATTCACTTATTTTGTTCTCCCAGAAATCTACCCCTTCTTACATCTTCTTCCCTCCCCTAACAATTCCTCCTCTAAAACACTTCTTGCATCCAGTCCCTAGCTCATGTTTTTTATCATCCCTCTCCTAACTTGGACGCTAGTTGCTAATCTAGTCTCTCCTTCCAATTTTGCTCCACACAGCTGTCAAGATTTTCCTTCCTAAAAATAGACATTTGAACATTTTACGCTTACTTAAAAATTCATAGAGTAATTTATTCAGTCACTCATCTGTCAAATATTTATTAAATCCTCACCATATGCCAGGCAGGAAACAAACAATGATGAACAAGATCAAACACATTCTCTCAAGAAGCACTGTTCTATTGGAGCAGGCATATCAACTAGCATTTTTTTTAAAGATTTTATTTATTTATTCATGAGAGACAGAGAGAGCGAGAGATGCAGAGACACAGGCAGAGGGAGAAGCAGGCTCCATGTAGGGAGCCTGATGTGGGACTTGATCCTGGGACTCCAGGATCACGCTCTGGGCCGAAGGCAGGCACTAAACCGCTGAGCCACCCAGGGATCCCCCAACTAGCATTTTATAAAACAAAGAGATAAATACCAGACCAAAAGAATGAACAACATGGGAGAAAAAAAGAACAGGACAACTATGGTTAGCGCTATTCCCAATGGATCCAGGAAGATGGAGAAGGCTCCCTTACAGGAACTATTACCTCTGTAGTCTTGAAGATAAACAAGGATTGAGATTTGCCACATAGACAAGGAAAAAGTGAGGCCTTGGCAGAGGAAAGTTCAACTCAAAGGACTAGAGACAGAGCTAACATGTCATACTGGTGGAGCTTCTCAAAGTGGACTTATAGGAGAAGGTGGAGAAGTAGTGAAAAGTGAATATGGAAAAACAGGTGTTTTTAAAAATAAGCCAAAAACCAATTGTCACCTTTCTCTCTGGAGTTAGAAATTCTAGGTTCATTCTCAAGTTCATCACTTACCTCAATTTCTTCAGCCATATAACGGACATAATAGTACCTATCCCATAAGGTTGTCAGCATTAAATGGGTTAATGGTAGAACAGTAGTTCCCAAACCTGAGCATGCCTCAGATAATTTGGAGTCTACCACCTGACTCAGTAGGTCTGGGATGGTGCCCAAATATCTGGATCTCTAACAAATTCCCAGGAAATACCGATGCTGCTAGTTTGTGGACCACAATTTGAGAACCACTGGCTTGGAACATAGCTCCAGCACATAGTAAGCTTCTACAAGTGTAACGTGCTCTATGAATATCATCATCATCACTAATACTATCTACCTGATGGCTTTTACTAACCCTTCAACACCCAGCTGAAAGGCTACTTTCTCTCAGTAATTCTCCCAAATCTCCACCCATCTCAAACAGAACTAGCCAGAAACATTATAAATGTTCCTAGTGCCCTTCTGATAAGAATATACCTCTCCAAATTGCAGCAGTAAATTTAATTTTCTGATACCTACTTTGCATTCTTTAATTGCAAGCTTTTACTAAAACATCACACAGTCTGGACTTAGGGTTAATAGAAGGTGTTGTAAAAAGATAAACATACTTTGAATTCAGAACCATGCTAAGTCTCCGTCTTGGTTCTTAGCTTTCTTTTGTGTAAGTACACTGAAAGGTGTAGCATTGCTATGGGCAATAAAGTGCCTCAGTGCAGCATAGAACAAAGGAAAACCTCAACAAGTTCCCTTTCTTTTTAGTACACTAAAAACTATAAAACATCTTGATGAAAGAAACTGAAGATGACAAAAGTAAATGGAAAAACATCCCATGTTTCTTTATTGTTAGGGAGTTGTAATTTTGGGCTTTTCATCATTTCCACACATTCTAAGGACAGCTTTATTACTGAAAATACATTAAAATGATTGAAAACCAGAAATACCTAAGCATATTGTTATTTATGCACTGTGAGTTCATCTCTTAATTAAGGAATTCCACAATTTGTCTTTTAAATAGAAAATGCTCCCATTAACTGTAGCTAGAACCCAGGATGTCCTGACTGTGAATTCAGTATCAAAGGGACTAAGATGATTAGCTAGGAGGCTGAGGGATATAAAGAGGGCCACGGTCCAGGCAGAGGTGCACTGGGAATGAACAGAAAGGGTCAGTTTGAAAGACTGATGAATGGATAAAGAAGATGTAGTATGTGCATGTGTGTGTGCATATCGCCACACATACATACAATGGAATATTATTGGGCCATCAAAAAGATCAAATATTAATAAATAATAAATAATAAAATAACATAAATAAAAAAAGATTGAAATATTGCCATTTGTAACAAAGTGGATGGAACTAGAGTGTATTATGATAAGGGAAATAAGTCAGTCTGAGAGACAAACACCATATGATTTCACTCATAAGTAGAATTTACGAAACAAAACAGATGAACATATGGGAAGGGGATAAAAGAGAGGGAAGCAAACCATGAGACTCTTATCAATAGAGAACAAACTGAGGGTTGATGCAGGGAGGTTGGTGAGGGATGGGCTAGATGAGTCATGGGTATTAAGGAGGGCATTTGTTGTGATGAGCACTGGGTGTTATATGAAAGTAATGAACCAATGAATTCTAATCCTGAAACCAATACTGCACTATATGTTAGCTAAATAAAGTTTAAATTAAAAATTTTTAAAAAGAAAGACATTTCAAGGGTGCTTGGGTGGGTCAGTCAGGCTCAGTCAGGTAGGTGAGCATCTTGGCTTCAGCTCAGGTCATGATTCCGGGGTCCTGAGACTGAGCCCCATGTCAGGCTCCCTGCTGAGTGGAGAGCCTGCTTCTTCCTTTCCCACTGCAGCTCCTTCTGCTGCTCCCCACTGCTTGTGCTTTGTCAAATAAATTTTTAAAATCTTAAAAAAAAAAAAAAGGCATTTCAGTGGGATTCTATGATAGTAGATTAGATTTTTCTTTAAAGAAAAAAGCGGGGCAGCCCCGATGGCCCAGCGGTTTGGCACCGCCTTCAGCCCAGGGCCTGATCCTGGAGACCCGGGATCGAGTCCCACATCGGGCTCCCTACATGGAGCCTGCTTCTCCCTCTGCCTCTGTCTCTGCCTCTCTCTCTGTGTGTCTGTCTTGAATAAATAAATAAAATCTTAAAAAAATAAAAATAAAAATAAAAATAAAGAAAAAAGGAAAGAGAAGAATCACAGATGCTTTGAGAAATTATTCAAATCTGGGTTCCATGCTTAACTTTACATACAAAGAGAGCAATATACATTTTTATGTTGTTAGAGAGAAAATTGTAGAACTATTATTCCCAAAAGAACCAGAAATCCAACTTCCTAACTCTACAGGTAGAGAGCTGCCTTTAAACCCATACATTTAAAAAAAATAAAAAAAAATAAAAAAAATAAAATAAAATAAACCCATACATTTGGGAAAATGCTTTACAGATAAAAAATATTTATATTACTCCACCAGCACAGGTGCAGATGTCTCAGTAATCTAGAACTTACTTTTCAATCTCCTGTTCTCTGAAGGCCCACTCCTTCCTTTCCATTGCATTCATCATCCTCCTCCTCTTCTCAAACTGGGAGGTGTCACTCAGACAGGGAAGAGTGGCTTCCCAAGCACGTTTCTCCCGGGCACGTTCTATCATTTCAACTTCAGCTTGTCCAGCTGGGAGCCCTCGACCTGGATGATGAAGCAAAGCACTTTAGAAACACATGGATATAAAAAAAAAAAAAAAAAAAAAAAAAAAAAAAAAAAGAAACACATGGATAAATTCATGTACCGTTTACGTTCTTTCAGCTCCTGTCCTCTATAACTTCAAGGGTTATGAAGGATGAAATGACATTAGGAAATATCCTCATGATGTGCCTCACAGCTTGTTATCTGTGTCCTGTATTACCTCTTGTTAGTTATTTGGCCAGAAGACATTTTAGCTGCATATGAGATGCTAGACAGTTTGAAGAATATTACTGAATAATCATACCTTGGAATGCCCTGTATTAGACAAATCCATATTTTTAAATGCAAGGAAATATCAAAGTAGCTTACAGAGGTCATAGATGGTAAGCAAGTAGAAATCAGGATTTTAACATGGCAATCTGACACTTGTGGTCTTATCTACTACTCTATACTCCCTCTCCATTAGAGAAATAAACCAAAAATGAACTCTATATTCAAACCCACAGCTAATTTCACACTCAACAGTGGGGTTGAAAGCTTTTTCTTTAAGATCAGGGATAAAACAAAAGCCTACTCTTATCACTCCTATTCAAGATAGTACTAGAAGCCCTACCAGAGCAATCAGGCAAAGAAGAAATAAAGCCAACCAAATTGAAAAGAAAGAGGTAAAATGGTCACTGTTTGCAGATAACATGATTTTATATATAGAAAACTATAAAGACTATCAAAAACAGAACAAATGAATTCAGTAAAGTTGTAGGATACAAAGTCAACAGATAAAAATCAGTTGCATTCTTAAATATAAACAATGAACTACCTAAAAAACAAATAAAACAATTCTATTTATAGAAGAATCAAAAGTAATGAAATAGGGAGGTGCCTGGTTGGCTCAATTGGTTAAGCATCTGCCATCAGTTCAGGTCATGATCTTAGAGTTCTGGGAGTGAGCCCCACATTGGGCTCCTCATTCAGCAGGGAGCCTGCTTCTCCCTCTGCCCCAGTCCACCCTGCTTGTGCGCTCCCTCTCTCCTTCTCAAATAAAATCTTAAATGATAATAATAATGTAATAGAAATAAATTTAACCAAGGACATAAAAGATCTATACACAAAAAACTATAAAACATATTGATGAAAGAAACTGAAGATGACGAAAGTAAATGGAAAAACATTCCATGTTCACAGATTGGAAGAAATAATTTATTAAAATATACATACTACCCAAGGCCATCCACAGATTCAATACAATCCCTAGCAAGATCCTAATGACATTAGTTTACAGAAACAAAAAAATCAATTGTAAAATTCATATGGAACTATTAAAAAACCCAAAGAGCCAAAGCAATCTTGAAAAAGAAGAACAAGGGGTGCCTGGTTGGCTCAGTGGTTGAGTATCTCTGCCTTTGACTCAGGGCCTGATCCCAGGGTCCTTGGATAGAGTCTCACATCAGGCTGCCTGCAGGGAGCCTGCTTCTTTCTCTGCTTTCGTGTCTGCCTCTCTGTGTCTCCCATCAATAAATAAATAAAATCTTTTAAAAAATAAAAGAAAAAGAAGAACAAAGCTGAAGGCATCATACTTTCTGGTTTCAATCTATATTACAAAGCTACAGTCATCAAAACAATATAGTACTGGCATAAAAAACACATAGACCAATGAAACAGAATCAAGTGCTCAGAAATAAACCCAAATATAGTCAACTAGTATTGACAAGGAAGCCGAGAATTCTCAATGGAGGAAAGATACTCTCTTCAATAAATGGGGCTGGAAAAATTGGATATTCACATGTACAAGAGTGAAACTGAACCCCAATCTTACACTAGTCATAAAAATTAATTTGAAATGGATTAAATACTTAAATGTAAAACTCCTAGAAGATGACATAGAAAGAAAGCTTCTTGATATTGGTCTTGGCAATGACTTTTTTGGATATGACACCAAAAGCACAAACAAAAGCAGAAATTAAAAATGGGACCACATCAAACCAAAAAGCTTCTGCACAGCAGAAAAAAATGAGCAACAAAATTAAATGACAACCTGTGGAATGGGAGAAAATATTTTCAAACCACGTATCTGATAAGGGTTAATATCCTAAATATATTAGGAACTTCTACAAATCAGTAACAAAACCAAAATAATGCAATTAAAAAATGGACAAAGGACCTGAATAGACATTTTTCCAAAGAAGATATACAAATGGCCAGTAGTACATGGTAGGTGCCCAATATCACTAATTATCAGAGAACTACAAAAGAAAAACACAATGAAATATCACTTCACACCTGTTAGGATATTTGTTTTCAAAAAGACAAGAGATAACAAATGCTGGCAAGGATATGGAGAAAAAGGAACCCTAGTACACTGTTGGTGGGAATGTAATTCATACAGCCACTATGAAAAACAATATGGAAGTTCCCCAAAAAATCAAGAATAGAGGTACTATATGATTCAGCAATTCCACTTCTGGGTATATATCTGAAGGAAATGAAATTACTATCTCAAAGAGATATCTGATTTTCCCATGCTCCCTGCAGCATTGTTTACAGTAGTCAAGACATGGAAACAACTTCATTGTTCATTGACAATGTATAAAAAAAGATATATATGTATACAATTCCTATATAACATACTAAATATAATTAACATATTATATTGAATATAATTAATGTGACATAAAATTTTTTGACATAATAAAATTTTATGCTTATTAATGTGTGATAAATTTCATTATATGTAATGTAAAATATACAATATTCAGCCATACGAAAAGGAAATCCTGACATTTGTGACAACATGAATGAAACTTCAGGGCATTGTGCTAAGTAAAATAAGTCACACATAAAAAGATAAATATTTAAAAATAAATAAATAAAAATAAATATAAATAAATAAATAAAGGTAAATATTGTATGATCTCACTTATGTCTGGAATTTTAAAAAACTGAATTCATAGAGAGTAGACTGATGGTTGTCAGGGGTGAGGAGGTGAGAGAAATGGGTAGAAGTGGTGAAAGGGTACAAACTTTCAGTTAAGTGATGAATAAGTTCTAGATAGCTAATATACAGCATAATGACTACAGTTAACAATTCTGTATTGCATACTTGAAAGGTAACAAGAGAATAGATCTTAAATGTTCTCACCACACATAACAAAAAAAATGGTATTATGTGAGGTGATGGATGTGTCAACTAATATTATTGTGGTAATCATTTTGCAAAATATAGGTATATAAAATCATCACATGGTATGCCTTAACCTTAGATAATATGTGAATTATATATCTCAATAAAGCTGGGATAAATGAATGATACATAAGTAAAAATATAATATTGTCTTTTATTTAATATCTATATCCATGATACTTTACTGTATCATTCTGCAACTTTTTTACTCAACTTAGTTTTGGGGACACTGGTCACACTGATACAGAGAATTCTAATTTCATTCTGCCATTGTAGGACTCTACCACAATTTAAGCTAACTTCTAAAAACTAATGTTTTAGATTGCTTCAGTTTTTTGATTACACATAGTAATGCTACAACAAATATCCTTGTACTGGTCATTATGTCCATATGCGAATTTCTCTAGGATTCTTAGAAGATCTTAAGTCTAGTAGCTAGATCATAAAATATAACGACTTAAAATTTTTCTGGATATTGCCAAACTTGTCTCCCAGAAGTATAATTTTGCTCAAGCCTTCTGAGATTCCCCTGGTGCTCTCTCTCCTACAGCCCATGTTTTCTTACTTCCTCTCATATTGTTTCTGTGTAATCTCAGTTGCTTTTTTTTTTTTAAGATTTTATTTATTTATTCATGAGAGACACAGAGAGAAAGGTAAAGACACAGGCAGAGAGAGAAGCAGGCTCCCTGTGGGGAGCCTGACACAGGACTCAATCCCAGGACCCGGGGATTATGACCCGAGCCAAAGGCAGATGCTTAACCACTGAGCCACCCAGGCATCCCTCTCAGTTGCTTTTTGTAGTCTTAACAAGTTAGTAGTCGTTTACAGATTTTTTTTTTTTTTTTTAGTTTCACTTAAAGTGTAATTTGTGGAAGTTCTGTTGTGCTTGTTGCTTTTGTGTGATTTCTGGGAAGAGAAGAGGACAGATACTGATCTACATAGGCACAGCAGGAATTTGGATTAGAATTTCTTGAAGGTATAAAATGTTTAGAGGAAAAATAATACGCACTAAAGCATGAGTCTTCCATTTATAAAAACAGTATGCCTTTTTTTAAAACAAATCTTTGTTCATATGCTTAAGAAACTCTTTATATTTTTTTCTCCATAATGCTATGCACATGTTTTTGTTAAGTGATTTTCATAGTTGTTATTTGTTGCTATTAAGAATATAATGTTTTCAAATATTTCTAATTAAATATTGCATATCAATTCCACAATCAGGCATCTTGAACTCAGGTTCTTAGTTCTGAGAATTTGTAATTTCGGTTGATTTTCTAAATGAGTACATCATAAATAGTTTTGCTTCTCATTTCTAATCTTTATACCTCAATATTTTCCTCTTAACTGCACTGAGTCCGTATTTCTCAACCAAAGTGACATCACTGCCATATTGGGCAAACAATTATTTCTTGTATGGGACTGCTGAATGCAGGACAGGAATGTTTAGTACCACACTAGCCTGGCTCCCAAACCCCATCCCATGTGATAAATGCCAGGAGCACCTCCTAATCATCATTACGTTAAAAAATGTAGAGCGACTTACGGGGAGATGGCAGAGTAGGAAGATCCTAGGCTCACCTCATCCCACAATACAACCAGATATACACCCATCAGTGTAAATAACCAGAATAAAACCCCAAATACTGACGAACAGACTTTCCACACCTATATGCTAAAAAGAGCCCACACTGAGGAGGGTAGGCAGGGCAGAGACATGGTGGGAGCCAAACAGACCTGCAGGACTATCCACAAAAGGGAAGAATGTGGTGAGTGCAGGCAGGAGGAGAACCCATGCTAGGCACCCCAGGCAGAGGGGACAGGCACT